ACACACACACACACACACACACACACACACACACACACTCATACCGGTCAGCAGAATTAGACAATTAGGTTATTGGTGCGTTGCTGCTGACAGCCCTTGTCCCAAAGAGTCAATAAGCCTGCGTGGAGTTCACATTTAGACATAGTTTTCTTTTCATCCTTCTATTGTCGTCAATAAATTTGCCATCCATCTTTTCTTACCTCCCACTAACAACCTAAAAGTGCCAACTCAGAGGTCCACTGCAGGCGGTGATGTGCCTGAGGTGCTGCAAAAGAGCCTCTCAGCCACATGGTTCTCAGAAAAACAAAAACAAAGGGTATAATTAAGGGTAACATCACACATTCATAATTGCATTGTTCATCTGTCCTTCATAAACACTGTAAATGTCAACCTGGTAAATACTGCTGCTTATCAAGGAAGCAGGGATTTAAGGGAAAATAATGTTTGCAATTTAAATGAGAATCATTAGTTTTCAGTCTTCAAGTGATGCACCCCCAAGCAGATACAGGAAATAAGCTCTGAAGGAGTTCCAAGAAGCAGTTTTGATTGTTGCTTAAAAGCCCAACGACTGAGTCAGCTCCTTGGTCGAGGTCCTCAGACCAGTGAGAGTCCAGTTAAACACAGGAAGTGATGGGAAGGATCACGCCGTATGTGTGCTTTTCAATAACATGAATGGGATTTTCCGCTGTGTCCAAAATAAGCACAGTTTGTTCAGTTCTGCAGGACGGGGAAGGTGAAAGCCAGGACCTGTGTCTCCCGCGAAGCCGTGAGCAAGGTGGCTTTTCCACATGAAAAGTCCACAAGTTTAGTCTGAAAGGGTGGCCTTGTTTGTGCTATCACATCTGTGATCATTTGAAACCACCTTTTCTTGTTGCTCTTTAAAAATCAAGGAACACATGTTTGCCCCGCGGTCAGACAAATTAAGACTGCAGAAGTAAGCAATCACCACTAACCTTGTGTCCTCTTTGTGCTCTGTGCTGATAAATAAAAGGCCTCAGGCTCATGGGAATCTAAGGTCACTTGCCTTCTATGCCCATTTGTTCTGAAGTACTTAGAAAACCTTTAATATAAATTAAAAGGTCTTTATTCACTTAGACATTTCTCAGTGTTTAAAGATCGTCTATGGGTGATGATGTGCACATTTCTGCGATTCCTGCAACACTTTGTCTCCCAGCCTTATCTACAAGTCAATATGATCCGGAGATAAAGTGCTGCATTCAGAATCCTATCAGCAGGACTGAAGTGCTAAGCAGTTTAATGCAGTCAGTTTCCTGTTTTCATCTCACACCCTATTAAAATTTGTGTCAGCTGTGAGCTGCGATTAAGCAGTCCAAGTTGCCCTTTTGCACATTATGGCTGAAGAAAGTGTCTCTGAGTTCTGAATTTCACTCTGAAATCTGCAGTTATACCTTTTTTTAAAAAACAGCCCTTTAAGTGTTTTGAAAAATGGAAATGATTGTTCTTTTATGCCTCGGGAAAAGCTCTTTTTTGGGGGTGTGTGTGTTTGTGTCGCACACATCGTATTCATATGCTAAAAGAAGGTCCCCTTGGTGCCTCCGCACAATATCTTTTTGAAAGCCTTTCTGAAGTCTTTATTGAAGATGGTATATATGACTGGGTTGAGGCAGGAGTTGCAGTAGCCAATCCAGAAGAAAAATGTAAAAAGCGGGCCTGGGATGTTGCAGGTCACAGGGCACACTGCCTGCAGCGAGTAGGAGAAGAAGAAAGGGAACCAGCACACCACGAAGACGCCGATGACCACCGCCAGGACGAAGGTGAAGCGTTTCTCTCTGTTGACCATTGCTTTGCGTCGGGCAGCTCCGGGGTTGTTGTCTGTTTTGGACTTTCTCCCTGGCATCAGCCGAGCCCCCTTTGAAGTGGCGATCATGTCACGGTAGCGCTTGACGGAGGCTGGGGAGTTGATCCCCCCTCCCGCAGGCGAGCCCGGCATGCTGGCGCTGCCCCGACCCCCTCCTTGGCTGTGCTCCAGATCGCTGTCTGTGCTGGAGCTGTCACCGTTGTTATTGTCAGCCTTTTTCCCTCTCAGGCGCTTGCCCTTCTTGCCCACCTCTTTAGTCTTTGGCTCAGAGTGGGGTGCCGAGGAGGGGGATGAGGGGCCGCGTGGAGACGTGTCAAGAGAGGTGGTGACAGGAGACATGGCTGGGGATGGGGATGGAGGCTGAAGGAGATTATTGGCGGTGGGATTTGGGGAATTTTGAGAGTCTCCTGGAGATGGAGAAGGGGTGATGGCAAGAGTGGGGGGTCTGGGATTTGAGGTTTTGTTGGCTGAAGGAGGGGTACTTTCTTCTTCGTCCTTCCCATTTTCTTGTATGTGTCGTGGAGTTTGACCTGGGGTTGCACAACCGACCCCATCCTTCCTGGGCTCTCCTGGGGGGCAGCGGGTTCTCTGCTTGGCTATTTGATAAATTCTTACGTAGACCAGGATCATGATGAGGCACGGTGCAAAGAAGGAGCCTATGGTGGAGTATAAGATGTACCAGCGCTCTTCGTTCAGCCTGCACTGAGGTCCTTTCTCACTCCCCTGGCTGCCCCCCTCACTCTTGTTGAGCGAGAGCAGAGGAGGGAAGGAGATGATGGCAGAAATGAGCCACACCACCACAATGGCGCCTTTGATRCGCTTGGGAGTTCGCTGGCGTCCGTAAGTGACCCTGGAAATGGACAGGTAGCGGTCCAACGAGATGGCGCACAGGTGCACAATGGAGGAGGTGCAGAAGAGCACGTCCAGCGCCAGGTAGATCTCACACCACAGAGACTTGAAGTACCAGTAGCCAAGCAGTTCATTGGCCAGAGAGAAGGGGATGATGAGGGTGGCCACTAAAATGTCCGCAGCAGCCAGGGACACCAGGAACAGATTCTGTGGACCCCGGAGAGAACGGCTGGTCAGGACAGCAATGATGACCATGATATTTCCGAAGATGGTGAAGACCACCATCAGGGTTATGGCGGTGGCAAAGGCCGCCGTGGCTTCGGGGGAGTAGGGGGCGAGGTCTCGGACACTCTGGTTGCAGGGCGCAGAGGCTCCGGAGCCGCTCGCGCTGCTGTTCAGCAGCATGGAGCAGCCGCCGTCCACAGCTGATGCCATGCTGGGGTTATTGTGCTAGATTAAAAAAACCATTATTGTTATTAAAATATGTTTTAATGTGCTACTGCATTAGAGTAAAGCCTTAAAAGTTACACAAGTCAAATATTTAGAGGAGAATAAAACAGTCTCAGATTTACCTCAGTTGTTCCAGTTTTTCACTCTGTTTGCAACCAGATCTCTTGGACCCTCCGTGGCAGGTCTTCCAAGTCCATTTTAAACACAAAACCCAGTCCGGAGCGATGCGTCTGAACGCAGATCAGACCTTTGTAAGAATAAAGATGCCACTTTGTAGAACCGATTTCTTAATAAAAAAGAAAAAAGAAAGAAAAAGAAAAGAAAAAAGTAACAGGGYGCATCAGCCCTTTGAGGATAATAAAATAAAATAAAACAGCCTACAAAAACTAAAACGTATTTCCTCCAGCTCGGTTCGTGGTCTGAGTGGATTAACTCGTTTCTTGAATGTGGGAATATTTCTTTTTTTAAGGCTCTAATTTAAAGTCGAGAACAGCGAGGCGGCGGTGAATTTGGGCACTTGCGCAAACCGTGCGTCCTCGTTTGGAGGCGCGCGTTTATCTGTTACAGAATTTAGACATAGAGAAGAGAAAGTGGTGCTTGGCTGCTAATATGAATATAAAAAATACTTGTTTTTACTTCAAATGAAAAGCTGCGCGGAGCAGCATCTCCAATCCATGGAAGAAAGGACGCAAAGTTCACATCGAGCTCTCCAGCGCCGCGCACAAAACCAGATGTTTCACCAAAAGCCTTTCTTCTTTTTTTCCCCCTCAACGTTTCCCGCTGAGCACCGTGTAGCCCTGAATGTCTCAGGACCTGCCTTATTTTAAAATTTGGTTCTTAGTGCTGCAGAAATTCGCCGGTGCGCCCTGATCCAGCCGCTCCGCTGGCGCACATCCTCGCCGTTCCTAACAGAGGCGCAGCAGCATCTTCTCCTGCCAACAGGACCTTCCGACGAAATCTAATAAGTGGGGGTGCCTCCCATCTCCTTCTCCTCCCGGTGATGTCACTGCAGAGCGTCATGGGATCCTTGCTCTCTTCATCTCTGTGAACCCCCCACCCCCCCTCCGTATAAAGCTTTGAATCCAAACCCGAGCGGCTCAGACGCAGTTAGATTAGAAACGTCTTATTGGGAGACTGATGCTTCAGTCAATTAACTCCACATGATGCTGAAGTGTCCAACTGGGAGATGATGGCGGTCTGCTGTGCAGGAAACATAAGATTGATCCCCCCCACCACCAGAGAGTTCAGTGCTTGTTTTCATCACTCTCACATGGCTTAAAAACGGTTTTGCTCTCTGCTTCTTTAGACTTGTCATCAATTCTGTCTCCAGTTACTTCTCTACAGCCCGTAAACTTTTGCCCTGGAGCAGCTTGAGGTCACTCAAGTGAAAACTCCAGCTTCACACAGCCTGTCAGAAAAAAAAACCCTTAAAATATGGCATTTTGCTTTGGTGAAACTGGACTTTTGACTGACATTTGTTGAGTTGTGATATTTTACAGACTTTTAGCTCATTGTAAGAAAGTATTCAAGTTAATGCAGGTAAAACAAACAACGAAAAGGTTTAATTAAAAGAAATGGATCTCATTTTTTAAAAKGGAGTTCTCAAATTTGAATGCATCAAGCTGTAAGTGGCTCAGTCCAAAGGTTATATGTTTGTGCTATTAAAAAGGGTTATGCAAAAATGACTATACTCAACAAATATGGCATGAAGGTAACTAACATCCTCTTGAAATCTCCAACTTCTTCACTATCCCCCCGCTTCCACCTCTGCCCGTGTTGTGAGGTGCAGAGAGCAGGAGGATCAGACACTCTCCCTGCTAATGCATCTGCATCATCACTTCACTTCTATTTAAATCTGTCTGCGGTAAGTATCTCCACGGCATTTCCTCCCCCAGGGGTGGGGAGGAAAAAAAAAACATCCATGACACCCCTTGTGATTGGTTGCCCACTTGAGATTAAGTGCCTGATTGTTCAATTATCAAGCGAAGCCCACGTCATGCTGAACCAGAAGCCAAACCGAAGCGGAGCGGTTGTTTGGAGGCTGATAGGTGGGCCCCTAAACACACAGAGGAACAATCATCCAATGTACATTCAACTGTTGTGCACAAACACACACGCGCAGTCGTATGAATGGTGTGTGAGTAGGAGGTTGTGTTTACTTGTTTTTGTTGTGCATCACACACATGTGGCTGCTGTAATGAAGGAGAAGCTCAGCCAGCCACCCATGGAATTACAATTGGGAGGCCTGCTCACTGATTGAAGCGGCAGCCAACAAATGGTTGCACCTTTTTTTTTTTTTTTTGCTCCCACCACACAATGTGAATATATAAGGACGGAGAATAAAGCTTTTAGGGGGAGTGAAAGCACTCCAATCGAGTGTTTCTGTTTTAGTGTTGCTGAAAATGCACGGTGGGGTTGAGGGGTGTGTCACTGATTTCCAAGGTTACAGGAGCCGAGCAGCTCATATGGTGTTCAGTGAGCAGCACACACCCCCTCTTCCTCCAGTGCACA